TGACTCTCTGTCTTGCATCGCCTCACTCACAAACTACACACTCTTACACCCAAAAATAGTTAGGCTACAACAGAAAATCCATACACTATCCGAAACAGGAAAAAACACATGTTCGCATGGATCCCAAGCCATGTGGGCATCCGAGGAAACGAGCAGGTAGACGACCTGGCGAAGAAAGCCTCATCCCTTCTGCTGGGATCAACGACAAACACTCTCCCACAGACTGACTTTAGAAATAAAGTAAAAAAGTACACCTCCAGTCTGTGGGAGAGCCACTGGGAAAACCAGAAAAATAATAAATTATACGAAATTAAACCCAGACTAGAACAGCGAAATCCTTCGGATCTCTCCAGAAGAGACGAAGTCATTTTTACTCGATTGCGCATCGGACACACGGCCCTGACTCACAAATACCTCCTGCAGGGAGAGGAGAAGCCGTTCTGTGTCGGATGCGACACAGATTTTACCATTAGACACATTTTAACAGAATGTCTAGACTTTGGAGAGATCCGAAGGAAATATTATAAATGCAAGAAATTGCAGGATATTTTCTCCGTCGTTGTTCCCAGCAGAATTTTAAATTTTATAAAGGCCATTGGCCTTTATGGCGAGTTGTAAAGTGAATCTGATATTATTTAAAAATTTTTATTGTTACTTAAAAGTTGTTTTAGATCACAAATGTATTTACACCGAATTTGAATATTTTAACTTTTTAGCATTTTAAAGTAAACTAGTTACCAGTCGTGAAGTGAACTTTCGCAGAGGTGAACAACTTGTGTTTCGCGCGCTCATATGACCTTAGCAGTTGCGAGCGCCGTAAAACCTTATACTACTACTACTACCAGCCCCCTCGGTCTGCTCCACCTCCCCCTACCCCTCCAGCAGACAAACCCCTGCCTATGGAGGAAGACAGTTCCGACCCCCCTCCCCGGCCTGACCCCGGGAAGGGCGGAGTCTGTCACTCCTCCAAATCCCCCACTAGACCGCCGTGCAATCCAGGACGGCAACCCAGAAAACACTGTGCCTCCCCCGCAAGGAGAAGTCAGAGTGCTTCTTCGAAGCCGGAGCCTTTGAGCTCCAAAATAAAAACTAAAAATTCATAATGGCGGTCCTGCAATGGAATGCCGGCAGAATCCGACCTTCCATTGCAGAATTGCAACATTTGCTGGCCATACTGTGCCCACGGGTGGCCTGTATTCAAGAAACAAAATTCGTCCCTTAAGAGGATTTACTGCGTACCATGACATTCACACGGAGAACCAGATTGCTTCCGGTGGTACCACCATCTCTACACCGACAACAACACACTCCACAGACAAGTACATCTTAAGACGACCCTCCAGGCTATTGCCGTATGGGTCACCCTGCACAGACCAATCACGATCTGCTCAGTTTATATCCCACCAAATTACCCCCTCAAAATAACCCAACTAAATGACTTAAAGGCTCAGCTCCCTTTATTTTGCTAGGTGATTTTAAAAAATGCCCACAGCCCCCTTTGGGGAGACAAACCTACAGACCAGAAAGGAAAAATAATAGAAAATTTTTTATTTCAAAATAACATCTGTCTCTTAAATGATAAATCCACAACTTACAGAAACAAAGCCACTTATGGCACTTCATCCCTTGACCTCACCTTTTGTACCCCTGACCTAGTCCCAGATCTTGAGTGGTCTGTGCTGGATGACCGTATGGACCATTTCCCAATTCTTCTAAAAAAACAATAGCCTCCAAAACGACCCGATCCCAGAACGCTTCAATTTCAAAAAAGCAGACTGGAACGGGTTTGCCAACAAATGTTCCCAGATTCTTAATCCCAATTTCGACCTCAACTACAATAAATTCCACGAAAGGCTTTTAGAAATATGCCACGAACACATAACAAAAACAAAACCCCAGAGGAACAAGATCTGGTTCTCTTGGGAATGTGAGGATGCAGTAAAGAAAAAAAAGGCAGCGTATTGAAAAGCCATCAACAACACCACCACAGAAAACAAGAATAACTATTTAAAGGCTCGAGCTGTGGCACGGAGATGCCTCAGGGAGAGTAAAAGACACTCATTCAAAAAATACATCTCCAAAATCAACAGCCAGACACCACTCAACCAAGTTTTCAAAATTGCTAAAAAATTCTTAGGTAGACGCACAGACACCATTCGCACGTCCAGAGGCCGAATGGAACCACAGCAGAAACACAAGTAGACATCGCAAACACAATAGCTACATCTCTCGCCAAAAATCGTCCCAAGCAAACTACAACACCACTTTTCAAAGCATCAAAACTAACAGAGAAAAACAACACCTAAACTTCCACTCAAACAACACTGAAACCTACAACGCAAACTTCACAATGGACGAACTAACATCGTGCATCTCGGACCTGGGCAATACAGCCTTTGGACCGGATGACATCCACAACCAGATCATTAGACACTTACCCTCAGAAACACTCACACTCCTACTATACATATACATATACAACGACATGTGGCGGTTGCACTCCTTTCCGGAGTCTTGGCGTCTCGCCACTGTCATTCCAATACCCAAACCAAACAAGGACCACACACACCCATCCAATTACAGACCAATAGCACTAACGAGCTGTCTCTGCAAACTCATTGAAAAAATTATCCACAGGCGACTCATGTGGTTTCTGGAAACGACGGGCTCGCTGAGCGGTCTCCAGTGCGGATTCAGGAAAACTCGATCCACTCTGGATCACCTGGTCCGCCTGGAGACCTTTATACGCGAGACGTTCGCTGAAGGAGGCCACATGATCGCCATCTTTTTCAACCTAGAAAAAACCTTCGACACAACCTGGAAGTACGACATTCTTCAAGACCTGCACGCACTCGGCATACGCGGTCACCTCCGTGCCTTCATTGGCAACTTCCTGAAGAACCGTTCCTTCCAGGTTCGTGTCGGATCTTCCCTTTCAGACCCACACCAACAGGAGGAAGGAATCCCCCAGGGGAGCATCCTTTATCCTCTCCTATTCGAAATTAAAATAAATTACATAGAGGAAAAACCCTCCAAAACAGCACAGACGGCTCATTGTAAGTTGACGTCTTTTTTATATGCTGCCGTTCGAAAAATCCTCATTTGAGATCTCTGGAAAGGCAGCTGCAAACGCAGCTGCACAAATTCGAAACGTGGGCAAACAATAACGGTTTCAAGTTCTCCCCGTCAAAGACGGTTGCAGTACACTTCTGCCGAACAGGCAGACGTGTGCTGCAGCCGGATTTGACATTATACGGGGAAAAGATTCCCGTCCAGGACCAAGCTCGTTTCCTCGAGGACTCAAAACATCTTCTCCACTTGTACATCTCCCTTGTCCGGTCCAGGCTTGACTACGGCTGTCAAGTCTACGGATCGGCAAAACCACACATCTTAAAAATGCTAGACCCAATACAAAACCTAGGACTCCGCCTCGCTCTGGGGGCTTTCCGCACTTCTCCGGTGGAGAGCCTCCAGGCCAAGGCCAACATACCACCACTTTCACTCAGACGCACACTACTCTCACTACAATACGCAGTTGAACAGAGCTCAACACCGGAAAATCCAGTGCACAACTGCATTTTAAAAACAAACCCAGAAACCATAAACAAATTTCAAAATAACGAAAAACTCATCAAACCCTTCGGCCTCAGAATCCTTGAGGACCTCAAAAACTTACACTTTTCCAAACAAGACATCCCCCGACCTCCCTCCGTGGCACCTCACCAAGGCAAAAGTAGACTTACAGCTGACCACACACAACAAAGAAAGCACAAACACCATAACTTTTAAAGCAGAATACAAAAAACTAATAGATAAATACCCTGGTGCGGAGCTCATCTTCACGGATGGCTCCAAAAAAGCGCCGCAGCACTATCTCCCTACAGTACACACCAGAGGAGACTCCATCCTGAAGCCTCCATTTTCTCTGCGGAGGCCACTGCCATTGACATGGCACTGGACTCCGTAGAAAATTCTCCAAACAAATCATTCCTTACCCTTTCTGACTCTCTGTCTTGCATCGCCTCACTCACAAACTACACACTCTTACACCCAAAAATAGTTAGGCTACAACAGAAAATTCACACACTATCAGAGACAGGAAAAAACATCATGTTCGCATGGATACCTTGCCATGTGGGCATCCGAGGAAACGAGCAGTGGACGACCTGGCGAAGAAAGCTACATCCCTTCTGCTGGGATCAACGACAAACACTCTCCCACAGACTGACTTTCGAAATAAAGTCAAAAAGTACACCTCCAGTCTGGGAAAAACAGAAAAACAATAGACTATATGAAATAAAACCCAAACTAAAACAGCGAAATCCTTCGGACCTCTCCAGAAGAGACGAAGTCATTTTTACTCGATTGCGCATCGGACACACGGCCCTGACCCACAAATACCTCCCACAGGGAGATGAGAAGCCGTTCTGTGTCGGATGCGATTTTACCATTAGACACGTCTTAACCGAATGTCTAGACTTTGGAGAGATCCGAAGGAAATATTATAAATGCAAGAAATTGCAAGACATTTTTTCCGTCGTTGTTCCCAGCAGAATATTGAATTTAATGAAGGCCATTGGCCTTTATGGCAAATTGTAAAGTGAAATCGTACTTTAAAAAATTGTTATTGTTATTTATAAAAGAGTTGTTTTAAATTGAAAATATATTTACACCGAATTTTAATATTTTAGCATTTTAAAGTCTAATAGTTAACCAATCGTGCAGTGAACTTTTTCTAAAGTAAACAACTTGTGTTTCGCGCGGTCATATGACCTTACGCAGTTGCGAGCGCCGTAAAACCTTTTACTACTACTACTACTAATTAGTTTATATATTATTCATAATATGTAATGTAATTCTTACCTGCTCAATTCTAACGAAGGACTTCAATTTCAGGTCATTGCTATGCTGGAAGTGGCCTTTTGGCATTTGCTCATGACTTTCGAACCATGCGGAATGACAGAGGCTGGCTGAGTTTCAATGAAGTCTTCATAAATCGCAGGTTTTCAGAAACTAACTACAAAATGTTGAGGTACGAAAGAGCCTTTTTCATTCAAATGAAATAATGTACTTTTCTCAACCCTCTCAGAGATTGTCAGAACACTTTGGAAGGTTTTGCATCTCAGGTGTCTGATGATTGGATAACCTTGTCTTATTAGGTATGTGAGCGAAAATGGCGATTGGCGAGTGATCGTGGCAAAAATGAGGAGAATTGACTGGCTTGTTTCTTGCTTCCCATTCCAGTACCGGTAAACTAAAAAAGCTTCAACCATAGACTTAAGAGGATTTACTGCATATCATCACATTCACATGGAGAACCAGATTGCTTCCGGTGGTACCACCATCTATACCAACAACAACACACTCCACAGACAAGTACATCTTAGGACAACCCTCCTGGCTATTTCCGTAAGGGTCACCCTGCACAGACAAGTCGCGATCTGCTCAGTTATATCCCACCAAAATACCTCCTCAAAATAACCCAACTAAATAACTTAAAGCTCCAGCTCCCAAAACCCTTTAGTGCCCACAGCCCCCTTTGGGGAGAAAAACCCATAGACCAGAAAGGAAAAGGTGGCTGCTACTCACCCGAATTCGGTTGAGCAGCCTAACGCTCTCGGTCGAGTAGCCTGATGCTACCTGCCCATGGGGATTTCTGCGACCTCGGGTGGCAAGCATTTTCTGCCCACCCGAAGCTGGTAACCTAGATCTAGTCTTAGTCTTATACGGGATGCCCAGTACGGCTGTTTTTGAGGCAACGGAGTCGGGCAATCGGCCGATCTCATCCGTAGTGGGCACCCCGTATTAGGTAGCATAAACACTGCCTCGCAGTCTTCCGAGTGACATGAAGCCTTTGCTCCTAGAACACTTCTGTGATTGGCCCAAAATAGATCATAGATTATGTTTTTCCTCCATCTATTTTTGTCATCTTTCGAGGTTTCCCTCGCAGGTCGACTAGACTAGATCCCCTAGATTTATCACCCTTTATTATTTAATTATTATCATTCATCGGAGTGACAAAGTTACTAACAATAGAAATGCAGTGTTGTGATGTTATTAAAGATTGTCTAACACTACCAAGATGTTTCAATTGCCCTATCTCGCGTCCGAACGAGACTTGGGAGCTTGATCTACCTCGTCTTAGCATGTCACGGCCTGTGATACAAGTGAAAACAAATGTTCCAGTGCTAAGTTGAAAGCAAGCAATTTTGTCTGTGGGGAGGGAGAGGAGGGGGGGGGGGGAGAAAGAAAAAGAGAGAGAGTGAGAACGAGAATGAGAGAGAGAGAGAGAAAGGGTGTTTTTGTTATTAGAATTACTGATTCCTGTCGTAATTTTCTCTCTGCTTCGGTTCACAAGCTGACCCAGTGCAATATAGTCATTATTGTACACATTATGGCCAGTCCCATCTTCTGATCCGACTCTTGACTTACAGGACAAGGAGTGACTGAATCTTGTACGATTAATCACTCGATTTCTAAAGGAGCATGCGCAGAAGTTTCCACGGGCCAGGAGCCGCAGGCTAGGCGGGGCTAATCGACCGAATTCGTTCGCCCAGAACATGCGCAAACATCCCCATGGGCCAGTAGCGTCAGGCTACTCGACCGAAATCAGGCGAGTAGCCTGACGCTAGCCACCCGAGATCGGGCGAGCAGCCACTCTCGAAGGAAAAATAGCAGAAGATTTTTAAAATTCAAAATAACATCTACCTCTTGAATGATAGGTCTCCCACTTACAGAAATAGATCCACTTATGGCACTTCATCCCTTGACCTCGCCTTTCATCTTGGAATAGCCTCCAAAACAGCCTGATCCCAGAACGCTTCAACTTCGAAAAGGCACACTGGCACAGGTTCGTCATTGAATGTTCCCAAATTCTGAATCCCCCTTTCGACCTCAATTACAACTAATTCCACGAAAAGCTTCTAGAACAGGATCTGGCTCTCTGGGGAATGTGATGATGCAGTAAAGAAAAAGAAGGCAGCATATCGAAGAGCCGTCGACAGTACTACCACAGATAACAAAATTAATTACTTAAAAGCTCGAGCTGAGGCACGTAGATGCTCAGTGAGAGCAAAAGACAATCGTTCAGAAAATACATCTCCAAGATCAGGAGCCAGACACCGCTCAAGTTTTTAAAATTGCTATAAAAAATTTGGATAGATACCCAGACACCATCAGGCTCGCCCAAAGGCCGGAAGGAATTACAACTGAAACACAGGTAGACATGATAGCAAACACAATAGCAACATCTCTCTCCAAAAACAAAAAGCAAACTACAACACAACCTTCCATAACATCAAAACTAACAGAACAACAACGCCTAAACTTCCACTTCCACTCAAATAACACTGAAACCTGCAATGCAGACTTCACTTTAACAGACAATAACATCGTGCATCTCGGACCTGGGCAATACAGCCCCGGGTCCGGATGACATCCACCACCAGATCATTAGACGTTTACCCTCAGAAACACTTACACTCCTACTGGACATACAATGACATGTGGCAGTCGCACTTCTTTCCGGAGTCTTGACATCTCGCCACTGTCATTCCAATACCCAAACCTAACAAAGACCACACACTCCCATCCAATTACAGACTAATGGCACTGACGAGCTGTCTCGCTGAGACGATGAGCTCACTGAGTGGTCTCCAGTGCGGATACAGGAAAACACGATCCACTCTGGATCACTTGGTCCGCCTGGAGACCTTTATACGTGAGACGTTTGCCGAAGGAGGCCACATATTCGCCATCTTTTTTTACTTTGAAAAAGCCTTCG